GCAACGTTTGGAAGGACCTGTGAGAAAACGTGGCAGGGCCCTTCCAGACAGCCTTTTCATTGTACATCCATGATTATTTGTTCTCATAATGCTAGTGGAGTGGCCATATGCAAATCTGCTTTCAATGCTGTCTGCCACCTGTGAAAAGTTATGGGGTGGCCACATGGCTTCATTTCTCATCTGTGCGTGTCCCATAACTTCCTTCTGAAATCCCAGAACTTTTCATCCTCACAAATGTTCTGGTTTTGTTGCTCTATAGTCCCCACCCTGCTCTGGACAACCAAAATGTGGTGCCATTGGGAGCACATCTCAGAACAAACTAAGGCAGAAAGATACCCATCACTAATGCACTCTTTTTGTGTCAAGAACAGATTTCAGAATACACTTGCAATAAAACCCAGGTCTAGAGGGGCCCATAGAGCGCTGCTCTTCAGGGTCCCAGTGATTCCATTACATTCCCCTACTCACTTCTCTGTTCCCATCCTTCAATAACCGGTTTCCTGTGTCCACCAAACACACTCCATCCTTGCTGAGGGTTTTTTGCAGGTTCCCCCATTAGGATCCCTCTCTCTAAAAGATACTTGTACTTCTGCAGGCTTTGAGTTCTCCCAAGGCTGCTGATACCTCCCTCCTGTGTTTGGGTGGTGCTGTTTCGGCTACATAAGCAACGGCACACATACACTAAACACTAGAAATAGTGGGAAGGATTCCAAGCTGAAAGAGGCTGTGTGGTTGCAGAAACGATGTGAATCAAAGTATGAACCAGTACAGACTTAGCACTTTGACATTTCTCATCTGAAAGCTTAAAAGTGAGAATGGAAGTCTTCTTGTCACACTATAAAGGAGAATGCATTTATTGTACAGTAAACTTTCACTGGACAGAGGCCTCATGGTCAGGTGGAACCTTACGCTACAATAAACCTGCTAGTGATTATGGCAGACAATCCCTGGTTGTTTTAGCTTGCAACGGGTGAGGGATCTGAAATTTCTGACTTGTGAAAGCTGATAATGAGGAATTTGTGCATGCATACATGGGGGGGGGATGCAGCCCCCCCAAATCTTGCCAATATTTTTAAAGGTCAACTCTTTATTTATTTAACAAATTAAGTACTTCGTACTTAAGTACTGCACAGCTCATGTCAGGACTGGAAGCCACAACGGCTCTCCAGCTAAGAACTGGAAGTATGTTGGGGCCAAGAATTAAATTGTGCACCCTCACTAAGCTCTGGTTGATTGAGGGGAGACGGAGATTCGTCTAGGAGTCTTCTTTGCAGCAATAGGCCAAAGGGTTCAGGTGACTGCCCCTAAGTAGAAGATCTGCTCCCACCAGCTACAGAGAGCTCACCCTCCTTTCTCGTGAAAACTTCAAAGAATATGATCTGTGCCCCACTCCCCAATAATGATTGCAATCCACTAACCATCTACTGTGACCTTCAAAGTACTTGCACTCCCAGGTAATCAACCCAAACAGATAGCTTGTTGAACACCTGATTGACCACCACCCAAGGCTCACCAGGAGCTCAGTGTTTCACTCTTTAACCTAGAGGTGGAAAGCTTTTTCAGCCCAAGGGCCAATCCCCTTCCAGGCAATCTTCCAAGGGCCACATGCCAGGCAAAAGCAGGTGGAGTGCTTAATGTACCGTATTTTTCGCTCTATAAGATGCACCAGACCAGAAGACGCACCTAGTTTTTGGAGGAGGAAAACAAGAGGGGGGAAATTCTGAATCCCAGAAGCCAGAACAGCAAGAGGGATCGCTGCGCAGTGAAAGCAGCAATCCCTCTTGCTGTTCTGGCTTCTGGGATAGCTGTGCAGCCTGCATTCACTCCATAAGACGCACACACATTTCCCCTTACTTTTTAGGAGGGGAAAAGTGAGTCTTATAGAGCAAAAAATACAGTATGTTTTCCCTTCCACTCTCTCACACAAACACACACCCCTATCCTCGATCTAGACAAGCAAGAGGCATGAAGAGGATTCAAAGACACATTCCAGTCAAACAGAAACATTCAGGGGCAAAATAGGAGCAGCAAGGGGCGTGGCCTGGGGAGAGTGCTGAGGGCCAGATAGAAAGCCCTGGAAGGACACATGTGTGGCCCCCGGTCCTGAGGTTTCCCCAACCTGGCTTAACCCATTCTCAGAGCTACTTGCAATAAGCAGCAGGCTTGGCTCAGCTCACAGGAGATGTTTTCCAGGTCACTTTCTTCTTAATTTAATTTTTTAGCAATTTTAATTTAAATCATACAAAGTGCAAAGAAGCACGACAAGACCAGCTACCAATAAACAGAAGCATAGAAATAAAGTGCTGAGTCAATGAGGAATATTTATACAAGGCCAGTGTGGGAATACTTTGGATTATTAACTAAGCTTAACTGTATAAGACATATCCCCTCCACTGTGGGGCATGGTTCGCATGCTTCACAACGCAAAACAGGGTGAGAACTGTGTGCTGCCGAGTTTGCTCTGTTAGGACAAATGGGGCAGTGCCCTATACATCTACCCTCAGCTTGCTCTTAGCTAGCTGTTGCCTGCCTGCCTGCCTGCCTATTTAAAACCTGTCTGGGGCAGACAATGCCTATCAGCTTCCTCCTCCTTAGTGCTGCCCCTGTAGAACTGGAGAGACACTGTGGTGAAGTGGTTAGAGCAGGGGTCAGCAAACTTTTTCAGCAGGGGGCTGGTCCACCGTCCCTCAGACTTTGTGGGGGGCTGGACTATATTTGGGGGGGGGGTGAACGAATTCCTATGCCCCACAAATAACCCAGAGATGCATTTTAAATAGAAGGACACATTCTACTCATGTAAAAACACGCTGATTCCTGTACTGTCCGCGGACCGGATTTAGAAGGCAATTGGGCCGCATCTGGCCCCCGGGCCTTAGGTTGCCTACAAATGGGTTAGAGTGTCAGCTGGGAGCTGGGGGAGAGCAGGGTTCAAATCCCCCACACAGCCATGAAGCTCACTGGGTGGCCTTGGGCCAGTCACTGCCTCCCAGTCTAACCTGTCTCCCAGGGTTGCTGTGGGGTTTACATGAAAAGGGGGAGAGCCACATATGCCACCTTGAGCTCCTTGGAGAAAAGCATGGAATATTAGTGCAATAAGTAAGTAAATAAGTGAACTCAGCAGGAAGGAGGATAGGAACAGAAGTAGAATGAGTTGACTCTGCCACTCATTAGCTCCGGCGCCGCCAGGGATCCCTTTTCCCTGTCCTACCAGTCCCAATGGGCACCGCCATCTTTGCTGGTACTTGGCACTTCAACCTCTCCATCTGCACTAGGGTAGCTCAGCTGGTGGAATATGAGACTCTTAATCTCAGGGTCATTGGTTTGGGCGCCATGTTGGGCAAAAGCCTCCTGCATTGCGGGGGGTTGGACTAGAATGACCCCTGTGGTCCCTTCCAGCTTTACAGCACTACAATTCTATGATTCTATGCATCGGGACCTGAGCAATTGAGGAGAAGTGTGGATGCACAGGGGAATGGTTGTAATCAAGTGCAATTTTGACACTGCACTGTGTCATTAGTAATCACAGGTAGGGATGGAGGAGAAATTCAACTCAGGTGACATTTAATGGTGAACATCCCTTGGGTACCAGAACCCAAGGGCATCCAATGAAGCTGAAATGTTGGGAAATTCAGGGCAAAAGAAAGTACTTCTTCACTCTACACAGGATGGAACTCACTATCCACAAGAGGTAGCCATAGCCACCAGCTTTGATGGAGCTGAAAGAGGGTCAAACAAAGTGGCCCGGCTAGTCCAGCATTCTGTTCTTGTAGTGGCCAGCCATATACTCCAACAGGAAGTCCACAAGCAGGACTGAAGTCCAAGAGTGCTCTCCCCACTTGCAATTCCTGGCAATGGGTATACTCAGAGATCTATTGCCTCTGACAATGAAAGCAAAACAGAGCCATTTGGCCAGATCAGGCCTAGTGCAATCAGTGTACAGTGGTACCTCGGGTTACAGATGCTTCAGGTTACAGACTCTGCTAACCAAGAAATAGTACCTTGGGTTAAGAACTTTGCTTCAGGATGAGAACAGAAATCGTGCTCTGGCGGTGCGGTGGCAGCGGGAGGCCCCATTAGCTAAAGTGGTGCTTCAGGTTAAGAACAGTTTCAGGGTAAGAACGGACCTGCAGAATGAATTAAGTTCTTAACCCGAGGTACCACTGTACTTGGCTAGCTTGTTTATTTAATTTGTATTTATATACCATCATTTATGTACAGTACTGAAATATCAGTACAGTGTACAAAAACATCATTAAAAAAACATTACAAAACATTTATTAAAGGGACTTATTACTTTTAGGATGACAGGTGTTTTCAGCGCTGTACATTTAAAACAGTATCACATCGTTGTAAACAGTCATGGCTTCCCTGCCAAAAGGATTCTGGGAACTGTAGTTTGTTCAGAATGCTGAGAGTTCTTAGGAAACCCCCTACTTCCCATGCAGAGCTGCCATTCCCATAATGTTTTAAGAGTCAATCCTTTTCCTTGGGAAACTGGCAATTGCAGCTCTGTGAGGGGGAATAGGGGGTCCGCTAAGAACTCTCAACAACAAGCTACAGTCCCCAGGACTCTTTGGGGGAAGCCATGAACGTTTAAAGTAGTATGATGATGCTTTAAATGTACGTATAATGCAGATGGGGCCTTAGATGGACTCAGCCCCATGCTTTTAGAGTTCAGTGTTAAACTCCCTGAAATAAAAACAAAAACCGAAAGACTTGAAGTGTCAGTGCCAGATTTCTGTGCAAGAGAAGCAACACAAGTTTCAGTCTTTCTTTTGGGTGTGAAACTGACTCAGAAGAAGCCCTGAGAAAAATAGGAAATGGGCAGGCGAGAAGGGCCCCACCTCAGCCACACTTTCAGGGCTGTGACAGAAGGGCACTGCTAGCAGCTGACTTCACCTACCACAAGCAAATTATCATTCCTCCTGCTTGCCGACTCTGTATTCTGAACTGGAACGTGTACGGACAACTCTACTTAGGCCGCCTGTCTCCTTCACCGAATGAACACCACCAACGTGACACAATGCCAGCCAGAGGGGATCCACTTTGCCCTCCCAGTAATTTTGGGCATCGTCTCAGTGGGCGGGTTGGTCTTCAACAGCATCAGCCTCTGGATCTTCTGGTTTGCCATCAAGCGCTGGAATTCTGGCATCATGCTTCAGTTCAACCTGGCATTGGTAGACATCATTGTCCTTCCGGTCATGCCACTGATGGTGGCCTATTTCAGCTTGGGAAACCACTGGCCCTTTGGGCAGTTTGTCTGCCAGCTTCAAGTCTTCCTGCTCAGCACCCATCTGTATGGAAGCATCTACTTCCTCATGCTCATCAGCATCCACAGGTACCAAGCCATTGTCCACTACAACGCCAAGACCCTCTGGAGGAAGAAGTCTGCCTTGAAAAAGCTGGTCTTGGTCTTCTGGGCTTTCCTCTTCCTGCAGGGACTTCCACTCTTCTTCTTCCTCAAGACTTCAGTCATCGGCAACTCGGTCAAGTGCCTGAGCATCTACCAGTCAGAGCTGACCTATCTCTACCTAGCCTATGGCATCTTCCTGGGGATCTTCTGCTTCCTCATTCCCTTTGCCATCTCTCTGGTGTCCTATGTGATGCTGGGAGCCTACATTGCTAAAATCAGTCAAGCCAATCTCCGAGGCCAGGTAATGAAGACCAAGTCGAAGCAAATGATCACCATTGCCCTGGTCATCTTTGCCACCTGCTTCACACCCCTCCACATCTGTGGGTCCATGGCTTCCATTGTGAGATATTATGGCGTGTCCTGCAAGGTTCTGTACCACATAGAAGTCACCTATTACATTTCTTTGGTCTTCAGCATGGTCAACTGTTGCCTAGATCCCTTCATCTACAACTTTGCCAACGAGAAATTTCACAGGCTCTTTTCCAATTCCCTAAGAGGATTATTGGTGTCCAAGTGAGAAAATGTGCTTCGGAAAAGGAAAGGTAAAAAATAAAACACTATGGGGTTGTAAGCAATGTTAGACATTGTCAGGTGCAGGAATACTGACAGGATCTGAGCCACATAAACTGTATGTGGATTGTGCCAGCAATCTATTGATAAGAACTGCTGCTTATATACGTATGTTAATTCTGCCTAGCCTACCTCTCAGGGCTGTTGCAAATATGAAGGTGGGGAGGATAATGTACACAACTATGAGCATCTGGGAAGAAAAGCAAGTAGAAAGATATAGCGCCATTCACAGATCATGAAAAGAAAAATAAACACACACAAAGCCAGAAAAGCAGCTTAAATGCAACATGTGATATTTACAGCAAACTACCAGACCCCATGGAACGTGGGTGGCGCTGTGGGTTAAACCACAGAGCCTAGGACTTGCCGATCAGAAGGTTGGCAGTTCGAATCCCCGCGACGGGGTGAGCTCCCGATGCTCGGTCCCTGCTCCTGCCAACCTAGCAGTTTGAAAGCACGTCAAAGTGCAAGTAGATGAATAGGTACCGCTCCAGTGGGAAGGTAAACAGTGTTTCCATGTGCTGCTCTGGTTCGCCATTAGTGGCTTAGTCATGCTGGCCACATGACCCGGAAGCTGTACGCCGGATCCCTCGGCCAATAAAGCGAGATGAGCACCACAACCCCAGAGTCGGCCACAACTGGACCTGATGGTCAGGGGTCCCTTTACCTTTACCAGACCCCAAATTGCCTGATAAATAACCACAAGCAAAGCAGTTTCACAATTTTGGGGACTGAATTACCAACTCTCAGCCTAGCCTACCTCACAGGGCTGCTGTGACCATAAAAAGTGGGGAGGGGAAGACAAGATCCACAGTCCTGAGTTCCTGGGAGGAAAAGGCAGGCACAAACATGCAGCAAGCAACACATCCTCTAAGTGTGTGCAGTTTTGGATCTCTTAGCAAAACACACACACCTTATCACACCAGCCTTGATAAACAAAAAATACCGTATTTTTGCTCTATAAGACTCACTTTTTCCTTCCTAAAAAGTAAGGGGAGATGTGTGTGTGTCTTATGGAGCGAATGCAGGCTGCACAGCTATCCCAGAAGCCAGAACAGCAAGAGGGATTGCTGCTTTCACTGCGCAGCGATCCCTCTTGCTGTACAGGCTTCTGAGATTCAGAATGTTTTTTTTTCTTGTTTTCCTCCTCCAAAAACTAGGTGTGTCTTGTGGTCTGGTGCGTCTTATAGAGCGAAAAATACGGTATATCCCTGTGTTAAAGTATAGTTGATAGGGATCTTAACTCGCTGCAGCTGCATAGTGTTTGATGGTTTTATGGTTGTATTTGTTGCCTTTTGGTGTTTTTTTTATCTGTATACAGACATTTATTGAAATATGTGGAAATTTAAAGCTGCCCATCTGCTGCCATTGAGGCCGAACTAAATAAAGTCAGAGGATACAAATAAGCAAAGAAAAAGGAACAGAAATCAGCTTTCAATGTGAAATTTTTAATAATATGCACACACAGACTCATGAGAGTTTCTGTTTCTGAGTTGGAGGGTAAAGAGACTTAGGGGAGTGGGGAATATTGCATTAGTCTTCCTTATAATGCTAGCTCCTCTCTCGTGTTTTCTAATACTCCTTTCACACTGTGGTACCCGTTGCATTAGACCAATATGCTGACATGTCATGCTAAATTTCATTCACACCAATGAACATCGGTGGTCAACATTGCTGCTCCCCCACCCTGTCTGCACAAGCTTGCTTCTGTTCCCCTGTGACTCTCCCATGAAAATGGCAGGAAGGAACTGGTAAGCTGTCCCAAATTTCCTCACTTTACTTCTGAGTTTTCTGTTTTAAGAGGGCTGCATAGAGATACTTTCTGTAATCAGGTAACATAGACGTGAGCGCTAAACATGAACTACAGTCCATTTGTTTCCCAGAAATGGCTTTTACATTGCGTGAAAGCTCAAATATAATGTGACAATTAAGATAGGGAAATGGAATAAACTGCCACATGAATGTGACCTCCAGTTTTAACCACGGGTATATTTTCTTTAAAAAGTGAGGCATCAGCAGCATACCTATTAAGTTTTAAGACTTGCCAGGTGGTTGGCAAATAAGCAGAATGCTCTTCACGTTCATGGCTCCTGGCTGCTTGATTCATTGTGCACAGTTAAGAGGAGACAGCAGGCTCTGGAGCACTGTTTGACTATCTCCTATATTGGCAAATATTGTGAAAGGGGGAAGCAGAACATCTTTATCTTTACTCAGTAGGGTACATAGAGAAACCAGTTTGCAATCTGGTTGTGCAGAAGGAGAGGGAAAGGGAAACAGCAATCCACTTCCCACAAAGAAATCCCACTTTGGTCTGCAGACCTGGCTCTGTTATGGGGCCAGGTCTGCAACAACTCTACATGCAACTTCCCTTGTATTTGATCCGCAAGCTGCAGTTGGTGCAGAATGCTGCAGCACAGTTGCTGTCAGAATGTGACCTGCTTCTGTCTGATAATAATCATAATCTAAATACATACATACATACATTTATTTTTATTTCTACCCTGCCCTTCCCGGTTCAGAAAACCAGGCTCAGGGCGGCTAACAACAAATTTAAAACACTCAATTGATGCAACAAAAACAGCATAAAATATAGTATAAAATGTGAATAACAATAAATTCAGAATTCAAAAATCAATCTAGGGGGGAAATTCATCCAATAAACATTAGATGATCACCAGGGCTAGCTGGCTAAATTAGTCCTATTTGGGCCAGTGAGGAGACCAGGGGAGAATTAGCTGTGGGATCCCAGAGCGGGTAATATAACACCTCTGCTCAGACACCTGCAACAGTTGCTCACTTGCTACTGGGCCAAGTTCAAGTGTTATTATTTGTGTGAGAAGCCATTAACAGCTGGGGGTCAGTTTATTTGTGGGATCACCTTACACCACTCGAAAGCTTCGATCTGCAGAACGGGCACTATTACAGGTGCCACATACCGTAATACCCATTGTGCACTTCTAAGGAATTCTTTCAGTGTAGCAGCACCTACACTTTGGAACTCCCTGCCGGTTGGCATTAGACACGCATTTTCACTGTTCTCTTTTCAGTGCTTGCTTAAAACAATTTTATTTAAGCAAGCAAGCCCATCCAGATGCATAGAGGATGAGCAGACATGTTTTAGTCTCTTTTTAGTTTAATGCTGATCTTAACTGTTTTTAAAAGGTTTCTAATTACCTGTTTTTTAATATATTTTGTTGATAGTTTTAATTTTAGTTTTTTCCTGTAAACCGTCTTAGAGGTTTTATTACAATAAAGCTGTGTATAAATGTTGTGAAATAAACACACACAAACACAAACAGATTTATTTCGACCCAGTTAGTAACTGGCTTTGATTTGACCTCTGGCTTAACTTTTCATTATGACCGTGCCTTTTCAGGTAACCATTCATCATATGGGTGTTAGGGGAGGGGTAGCACCTCTGGTGGGGGAATGGTCATTCTCCATCTGGGCTAGTTTGTCCACCTTTGGTCAACACCCTGCACACAGCTCTCACCTGTAGCATCCTGACTGGCAGGATAGTAGACTAGATGGGTCTTCCTTGGGCTGATTCAGCAGGGCTCTGATTATTGCTCTTGTTCCAAAAAAATAATTTAAAAAATTCAGTAGTACCTGTCCCACGCTAACCCTGGATGAATCGCTAGAGTTTTTGTCAGCCACCACTGGCGCTGTGGGTTAGACCACAGAGCCTAGGACTTCCCAATCAGAAGGTCGGCGGTTCCAATCCCCGTGATGGGGTTAGCTCCCGTTGCTGGGTCCCAGCTCCTGCCAACCTAGCAGTTCAAAAGCACGTCAAAGTGCAAGTAGATAAATAGGTACCACTCCGGCGGGAAGGTAAACAGTGTTTCCGTGCGCTGCTCTGGTTTTGCCAGAAGTGGCTTAGTCATGCTGGCCACATGACCCGGAAGCTGTACGCCGGCTCCCTTGGCCAATAAAGCGAGATGAGCACCGCAACCCCAGAGTCGGCTACGACTGGACCTAACGGTCAGGGGTCCCTTTACCTTCACCTTTTACTGGCTTACCTAGGATGGCAAGAGAGAGGGACAAAGACCAGAGGCGGCCAGGCCAAATCCTAAGGGAGGTGCAAAGTCCCCACTTGTCCCCAGACATGAAGCAATGGACCCCAAGGACCCCAATGCACACCAAGGAAGCATCCATGCTCAACATGCCCACAGGTACCTCCCTCCTTGCAGGAGCCTCGTGTGAGCATCATGGGCTGCTGGCATTCTGCCTCAACCTTATTTTCCTGTGACTGACGATGCTTGATTGTTCTCAAGAAACCAAGCCCAGTAGAGGAAATAATGGTGAGAAATTTCTAGGGCTGTGGCTTGTCAAACCACAGGAAAGCTACCGTGGGACCCATTTATTTCTGCAAATAGCATTCTGGCAGGTCTACTCAGTACCTGGTGCCTCCTTCTCAAAACCAGGGAAGCTTCTGCCTGGCTTAGAGAGGGAGGCATGGTGTCCATGTGCACAATGCCAGGATATCGCAATGTCACACGTGCAACAACACCCCCACCAATTGCCCTCACAAGCTGGCACCTCTGGTCCTAACTGTTCCCCTGCAAAAAATAAATAAATAATAATTCACTGCAGCTTGCTATGTCTCTTCTGCCATTAAGATGTGGTATTATGCATGCTTACTCAGCAGCAAGCCTCACTGAGCACAACAGGACTTGCTTCTAACTAAACAAGTCAGGTTGGGCTGAACACCACTTAGTTGTTACATTGTCACAGGACTCTTTTCGGGTTTTTTCATTGTCACAGCCCTGGCTTTTAAAAATGCTGTTTTTGCAGAACACTTGGGAAGCCCTAGATATGTTTTTTTTTTAATTTACAAACACTAAATCTTGTTGATCAGCTCTTCAAATGGAATGGTGGGGAACAGTCAGATGTTGACTGCTGGGAGCTGGAGGGCAACATCAAGAGGACAGCTGTTTCCCCAGTCCT